AAGCTTGTCTTCATAATATTTACGAATCCAGACCGTACCGCGAAGAAAACACTTCACTTAACCATTAGAAGTCGAATCAGGCGGTACCACATAAGATTTAACAAAAGAACGTCCCGGTCAAAGCCTTAAAGAACGCGTGAAATGCGGACCCGGCCTGACTTACATCAGCTTTTCCATTTTCCCACATCCAAGCCGAACAAAAGACGCACGACTCGCGTCTCTACACATGACTAAAGGCTGATTAGTCCACAGCGTAACACTCCACGCGTACAGACAACGTTTCATTAATTATCGAAATTAAATGAAAAATATTTTAGTGATGTCGCTAGGCGTCGAGTTTCGGGGCAGTGTAGCTCAGCGGTCCTATACGGGGCGTGATATTTCCTGGGGAGCAAAGCCCATGGACCTGGTCGCAGACAGCAAGGAACTTCGTTTGAGCGTCTGGGCGCCTGACGTCGTTTAAGCACGGGGAACAAGTAAATCTTAGGTAGATTGGATTTAACTGGCTCAGCATGGGAACAAGTGGCGTACTTAAGTAAACTCTGTGACTAACGCTCTAAAACATGAAATGGCAAATGCGTCTGTTTTCCTATTACACACAAGTTAGTGACGTAGGCGAAACGCGTAGTTTCGTCCCGACTACTGTGCGTGCTGTTAAATCTGTGTTTGAGTTTTGTGCATGAACTGAAAGCTAGTCCGACACCAGGTCATGACAACCATCGACATTTGCCTCCGGGCCGCACGCAGTTTAAGATAATGACCGACGAGATTTATTTAAGAACGGAAAAGTCCGGAAGAATGACAAAGCAGCCACTGCACGCGGGATGCAGCCCTAATACTGGAATCGAAACCAGAAAACTTGCAATGATTCGTCTGACTGTGTTTTAACTACCTGTTACTTTTGCACCAACAATTCTGCCAAAGCACTAAAAATTCTGTCAAAGCGACAACAATTCTGCCAAAACACTAAAAATTCTGTCAAAGCGACAACAATTCTGTCAAAGCGACAATAATTCTGCCAAAACACTAAAAATTCTGTCAAAGCGACAACATTTCTGCCAAAGTAACAACAATTCACGCATTGCTAACTGTTCTTTAGTGCCACAACAATGACTAACAAATATCTACGGACTGTGTCTTCGCTGAAAAGGATCGTAGCTTAGCTCGTCAAGAAATTTCCTGCAATTCCATGACCGTTTTCAAAAAAGCCCCACACCAAGACACTATCGTGATTCAGTTCAATCCACTCCAGGCCTCTAGTATACATTTTAATATTATCATCCCATCTATACCTAGGTCTTCCAAGTAACATTTTCTCCGAGGCATTTCACGTTTCCTCTATGCATGCTACACGTTCCGACCATTCGTAGTTATCAAACAGAAGTACACTAACAATGTGTCCCATAGTAATCGAATACCTGGATTCTGTGGTTTTCCTCAGTTGCTTCAGGCGAGTGTCTGTCCACCCCTTTCCTTCCGAGAGCTTTCCAGCACTACGTACAATCATCTCATGTTGTCAGACGAGCGCAAACAAGCGAGAATCGCTTTCATGCGCCTCACAGCACAAAACTGCTACACGCACGACTTACCCGCATTCTGCTGAGGACACGCTGGCACGATCAGAAATTCAGGTGACACAGGAATCGGATATATATGAAACTGCAGTGCATCCAACTGCTCCAATAACTCCCGATTAGCCATGTCACTAACACTTCATATATGCTGATTCCACCCGCAATGTCTGCACATCACACATTTTAATATTTATATCCCCGTGCGAGGTAAAAATCGAAAATCACAGCTTTCATCGGCGTCTTCTTCACATCCTTCGCTGCTACGTACGAACTGTCTTCTTCCGAGTTCTCCCCCCCCTTCCCATTGCAGCCCGACGCAAACCTCTCTCTCTCTCCTTTTCAAGGACGCGACTGAAGTGTGCAATTCATCTGAACCAAGCTGGGTCTCTAGTTCACGTCCATCGGAACAGAGAACCGGGTAGAGCACAGCTAGTGGGGTTTTTAAGCGCGCATGCGCAATGCTGCATTTGTCCCCTGTAACACATTCCCGTTTTACACAGTTCGCCACGAGTTCAGTGTTTGTATTTCGCAACACAATTGCGTTTGACAGGGGACAGGTGTTTCCACTTTCAAGCGAGACTTCACTTCACTGCTAATAAATTCATTTAGCGGTAAAATTCACGCACTTTATAATTTTTTTTAAATTTCACGTTTCAGTTCACATGACCTTATTTATTTAACCTCTGATTTATAGCGTCGATTTGAAGTAATGGGGCCATGACCTGGTTAAATATTTTGCACGGATTTTTTTACCTGAAGGAACTTACGAAAAATTCGAAAGTGTCTGTCGTGTTTCCGGGCCGAGATTTAAACCGGAAACATTCCGAATATGAAGCTGGAATGCTAACCACTCGACCGCGACATTCGGTCGTGGCCAATCCAACTGATGAATTAATTCAGCGTGAGGTTCGTACCGAAATTACCAACTGTCAAAAAATTATTAACAACGCAGAATAATTATACTAATGACAAATTGAAGGAGGTTAATATGGCAGCAGAGGATTTTTATTCAGGGCAATCTGATGGAGAGAGATCACATTGCGGGAAGACGACGAGCCGACACAGAACTCCACGTAAAGACCATCATCGGGATACATTGTGGGTACGTAAATGTAAATTATGTCGGCGTATAGCTCGAGAACGGTTAGACGAATCTATACCAAACTTGGCAGTCACGTGCTTTGAAACAAGGAAGAGATTTCAGTGAGGTCAAAACTCCGATAATGGCCTTAGTCCTGCGGCTTGGAAACTAAGAAGGACAGAACATCGACGACAAGAACACAAGAAGGTAGAACGGAGCCGGGTTCGAGTCCTGGCAATAACACTTTTTTTTTCCTATGATATTAAACGACTCGAAGGACAAGTTTCAAGGCGATAACGAAGGACATCAAACGTATCTCACTCAGAGGCGTTTACTTCTAGAGGACAAAACGTGCTCTAGTCGTTAAAATACCTGCAGTTGGAGCGGTCACGTGCAACGAGCTACAGACCGGAAGTAACTGCCCGGAGAAGAATTCTCGCTGAGGATCTGGAAACAGCTCAGGCGATCAAGGAATGGCGGGGAGGCTCAAAACCTAGTTCACAAGAGATGGCCGTCGCTCCATCAGCCCTCTGAGGCACCAGCTCGTCACAATTTTGCATTTGAAAACGTTAGGAACCACCGCGAATGGCCAACGAGCTTAATCGAT